GTCGGCCAATCAGAATTGAGCATTTCACACGCAGCACTTAGTAAATTTAATTTATATTGAACGCTGGGGTGGAGGATCTTAACTTGGTCTATTTGGGGGTGGGGGCGGATTGAGGATGTTAACTTGATCCTATCGAGCTCTCCCAAAGCAAAGCACTGGCACTGTTTTGTCCTTGTTTTTGCGCAAAATTTCAGCGTTTTCAGGCTTTTTTTGGAAAATTTTGACCAAAAAAACGCGTTTTTTTGGGCGCGCGCTCCCCCTAAAAATTAGTATATATTGGCGCCGAAAATTTTTAGGGTCCATCACCAAAAATGGATATTGGAAAATAGTAGAAAGGGGGGACCCTTTGGGTCGGCAGGGATTCGAATCCCTGAGGAAAAAGCGTCCGCATCCCCGCCACCCCCCTGCATTCTTTGATTTGAAAACGAGGTCACACGAACAGTGGAATCAGCATCAATTTTCACTCTTCGGCTTCTGCAGGCCCAAACTTTTATTCATCAAATCTGTACAAGGGTCGAAAGATATTAATTTCTTCACAGCTAAGTTTTTCAGACCGATTTCGATTTCTTAATTGTTTTTTTTTGACATTTCTCTTTGCAAAATCTGATTTACAATAATTTTCTGTAATTTCATTGCTTGTGTTTATAAGTGGCAATTGTCAGCCAATCAGAATTGAGCTTTTCACACGCAGCACTTAGTAAATTTAATGTATATTGAACGCTGGGGTGGAGGATCTTAACTTGGTCTATTTGAGGGGGAGGATGTTAACTTGATCCAAGAATTGTCAACAATAGTTAACAATTTTAACAATTTCCCGGTTGTACTCTTACTGCTACGTAACCGAAAATCTAGCGGGTCCCGGCAAATAAAAGACGACGCCACGGTAACCGGCAAATAAGGCGACAGCCGTTATGGCGACAACCTTTTTCAATGGGTCTTTTAGACAACAAAGTTCATTTTTGAGAAATTCATCGAGCAAAATGATTGTTTTTTAACACGCGAAATACATTTCTCAGAAATACAAAACGCATAAAACGATCGTTGTAGATAAATTTCTGCGAAATACAGCTAGAGAATTTTTATCAATTCAACCGTGTTCGATGGAACTTTGTGACGACGCTACGTAAATTCCTACATAGTATTTCTGAAAAAATCAAACCGCTGAAGTTCGAACTGCTCATAATTTAAGGTATAAAATAACGGTAAAATAATTATCAGAAATGTCAATAATAGCAAAGCAACGAACATTTTATGCATAACTTGAGCAATTTAATCAAGAACTTTTTAAAGAAAATTAATCCAAAAACTTAATGAAATTAGTCAATTCATGCGTAATTTATTCGTTTTCTTGGTACTTTTTGACGATTGTAATAATTGTTTTACCAATAAGCCCGTATAAACCAATATGAGCAATATTTCCTGTTTTTCTGCTCTTGGACCATTCTGCTTATTGCTTTGCCTCCAGTCACACTGTTCCTTTTTTTCGCTGTTTTGCACTGGGTGCCGGACATCAAGCCGACCTGACTTGAAGCCGAATTTTAAAATAAGGGACTTCAAGCAGAAAAACTTTTCAGTAAGCTATGAAATATGATTAATTTGATAACTTTTTTGAAGAATTTATCAACTTCTTGATCTTTCTCCAGTAATTATTGGCGTGTTCAAAAAATTTAAGGCTACGAATGACGTTAAGAGCAGTTGAAAAATAAAACATGGCTGAAGGCGATTTTCTTGTTTATAAGCTATGCATTTCAAAAACCGGCTGATCCCGCACTGACAAAATGGATTAGGATCAATTTTAGTATGAAAAAAATACGTTGATAAAATTTAGATCGATTTTAGTATGAAAAAAGTACGTTGACAAATTTATGATTAAATTTAGATCAATTTTAGTATGAAAAAAGTACGAAGATTTAAAAAAAGACGAAGATTGATTTGGATCGATTTAAAATTGATTCAAATTGATCTTAAATCCCAGCTAAAAAAATTGATCCATATCGATTTGAAATCAATTTAAATGCATTTTTTCCAGTCTGAAATTGTTTTCAGTTTTAAGGGGGTTAAAACGGATTTAAATCAATTTAAATGGATTTTTTATTCGAGATTTTTTAGTTTTGAATTTTATTAAATTTATTCATTGCCTATCATTTTTCATTTTACGTCCATAGCATATTGTAGCATAAAAAAGACCAAACAAAAATATCGATAAAATTCTATGATCTTCCTACATATTTTGAATTCAAAAACTGATCTATATTGACCCTTTTCTTGTTTCGTTTTTATAAGTTTTGCCCAAAATCTGAATTGTATTCATAATTTTCTATGATTTAATTGCATATTAATGAGATCAAATTTTAATTTATACTGACCTTTTCCTTGTTTGTTACAGGATTTTGCAAAATCTGATTTACAATAATTTTCTGTAATTTCATTGCTTGTGTTTATAAGTGGCAATTGTCAGCCAATCAGAATTGAGCTTTTCACACGCAGCACTTAGTAAATTTAATGTATATTGAACGCTGGGGTGGAGGATCTTAACTTGGTCTATTTGAGGGGGAGGATGTTAACTTGATCCAAGAATTGTCAACAATAGTTAACAATTTTAACAATTTCCCGGTTGTACTCTTACTGCTACGTAACCGAAAATCTAGCGGGTCCCGGCAAATAAAAGACGACGCCACGGTAACCGGCAAATAAGGCGACAGCCGTTATGGCGACAACCTTTTTCAATGGGTCTTTTAGACAACAAAGTTCATTTTTGAGAAATTCATCGAGCAAAATGATTGTTTTTTAACACGCGAAATACATTTCTCAGAAATACAAAACGCACAAAACGATCGTTGTAGATAAATTTCTGCGAAATACAGCTAGAGAATTTTTATCAATTCAACCGTGTTCGATGGAACTTTGTGACGACGCTACGTAAATTCCTACATAGTATTTCTGAAAAAATCAAACCGCTGAAGTTCGAACTGCTCATAATTTAAGGTATAAAATAACGGTAAAATAATTATCAGAAATGTCAATAATAGCAAAGCAACGAACATTTTATGCATAACTTGAGCAAATTAATCAAGAACTTTTTTCAGAAAATTAATCCAAAAACTTAATGAAATTAGTCAATTCATGCGTAATTTATTCGTTTTCTTGGTCTTTTTCGACGATTGTAATAATTGTTTTACCAATTAGCCCGTATAAACCAATATAAGCAATATTTTTCAGTTTTTCTGCTCTTGGACCATTCTGCTTATTGCTTTGCTTCCAGTCACTGTTCCTTTTTTTCGCTGTTTTGCACTGGGTGCCGGACATCAAGCCTACGGGACTTGAAGCCGAATTGTAAAATAAGGGACTTCAAGCGGAAAATTTCTTCAGTAAGTCATAAAATATGATTAATTTGGTAACTTTTTTGAAGAATTTCTCAACTTCTTGATCTTTCTCCAGTAATTATTGGCGTGTTCAAAAAATTTAAGCCTCCGAATGATGTTAAGGGCAGTTGAAAAATGAAACGCTGAAGGCGATTTTCTTGTTTATAAGCTATTCATTTCAAAAACCAGCTGATCCCGCACTGACAAAATTGGATTAGGATCGATTTTATTATGAAAAAAGTACGTTGATAAAATTTAGATCGAAAAAATTTAGATATGAAAAAATACGTTGACAAATTTATGATTAAATTTAGATCGATTTTAGTATGAAAAAAGTACGAAGATTTAAAAAAAGACGAAGATTGATTTGGATCGATTTAAAATTGATTCAAGTTGATCTTAAATCCCAGCTAAAAATTGATCCATATCGATTTTAAATCAATTTAAATGCATTTTTCCCAGTCTGAATTTGTTTTCAGTTTTAAGGGGGTTAAAACGGATTTAAATCAATTTAAATCGATTTTTTATTCGAGATTTTTCAGTTTTGAATTTTATTGAATTTATTCATTGCCTATCATTTTTCATTTTACGTCCATAGCGTATTGTAGCATAAAAAAGACCAAACAAAAATATCGATAAAATTCTATGATCTCCTTGCATATTTTGAATTCAAAAACTGATCTGTATTGACCCTTTTCTTGTTTCGTTTTTATAAGTTTTGCCTAAAATCTGAATTGTCTTCATAATTTTCTATGATTTAATTGCATATTAATGAGATCAAATTTTAATTTATTCTGACCTTTTCCTTGTTTGTTACAAAATTTTGCAAAATCTGATTTTCAATAATTTTCTATAATTTCATTGCTGGTGTTTATATTTAAAAAATCGAGAAAAAAAATTCCAACAATATTTTAGAGGGTATGTTTTTTTCGCCGTATTAGCAAAAAACTTGATTTTATTGAGTCTGAAAATCCATTCCAATCAATTTAAATGGATTTTCAAGACACTCAAATCGATCCAAAATTTTCAATTACGATCGATTTGAATCGATTTAAAATGGATTTAAGTGAGTTTCGGATGGATTTTAGTGAGTCGGAAAATCCATCCAAATCGATTTAAATCGATTTAAATCGATTTTTTAGACACTTAAATCGATTTAAAATTTTCGAAAAGATCGATTTAAATCGATTTAAAATCCATTTAAGTTCGTAAAATGTACATTGTTAGTCGATTTGGATCGATTTAAAATCGATTTAAAATCACTTTAAATCGATCTGAAACCATTTTTTTCAGTGGGGGATATTATTAACGGATGCCAATCCCAAGTGATTCATTGTCATGAATAAAGCTTATTATGGACTAAACTTGCCTACAATTTTGAAAAGCAACGTGTTACAGATGAAAAAGTAGTGGTTTGAGGTGCTTGTAAAGTGTAAACTTCGACCTGAAGTCCCTTCGGCTTTAAGTCCCGTCGGCTTGTTGTCCTATCCTAGACCCTTTTGCACTATATTATACCGAGTTAATAACGAAAGGGCATTTCTCAGAAATAGCATCCTCAATATTTACACTCGAAATTACAGCTGTCTTAGACTATTTTGCGTTTATACTTCTTCATGGTTATGTACTCCAACAAAGCAAATGAGACTGCATAAAAATGATAAACGAACATACGCAGTTACAGCAGCATTTTTACCATTCATGTTACCATATCTGTGATTTGTAATTCCACATTTGGAGTTTAAGTTACAGTTACAGTTAGTTAATTTCTTCGGATTGCAACATTTATTCAGTCAATTTTAGATTATTTGTGTTTTATTACAAAAGTGCATACGCTATTTGCCTCTGCAGATTTAAACTACAAAAAATAAAGTTGATCACCATTCTGGAATAACAAACAAAACATTAGATTTTGATAACATATCTTTGCAATATGGCACACAGCAGCAGCCTCAGTGACTTCCAGGTAATCATTCCATGCCTTTGCATTGATTAATGTGTCATAACTGCTAAAAATAATTTTCATCATGTGAACAAGTTCAGGAACATCTAGATATTCTCGAGCCCCCTGGGGGGTTATCGTACCGAAATTGTTTTTATTATTATTCTTGTTGATAACTGAACTACGCCAAAAGTAGACAAGCCATGATGAAGACTTCCTAAAGAAGACAAATATACTATATTAACCAATCAGAATCGAGATAAGAGAACAAACGTACTTATTAATATATAATTAGTAATTGTTCTTATTGTTAACTTTTTTTAAAAAAAAACCTTGATTCTGATTGGTTAATAATTGTATTTGTCGATTATTGACGAGTCTAAAACAAAAATTGCCGACTTATTGACTGCATTCCATTTTTCCAACATCTGAGAATGCTTAATGCGGTTCAAATGCGGTTCCATGAACTAAAATAATTACAAAGTGAACTATAACAGTTTATAGAATCAAGCTTAACGCCTTTCTAAGATATTTCTGAGGATAAATGACCGCACAATAAAAAAATGTAGGCCAATAGTTTTTCATTTACACACAATTTTTTTTCGTCGTTTTTTCAAGTTTCAGAAAGAAAATAAAGAAAGAATATATTTCTCATTGTTAATGGTGAACATGCATATAACGAGAATTTAAACATGAAGCACCCGAAACAGTGAGGGAACAGTTGACGAACCCAAATGGGTCATAGAGCACTGCCCGTTTTATCAAATGAAATACGAAATTTGAGATCTTCAAAAAAAAGGAAAAATATATAAATCTGAAAACAAAAAAAATATATTCGGAAAGAAATACTGAAGTTTGAATAAACATAAAGCAGCAGATTTATGGCATTGTCTAGACATGTTAATGACATAAGGTCCAAGCTCTGCATCAATATTTAAAATGATTGTTCAATCGTAGTCGGTATAAAACCAATATAAATAAGAAAGTAGTTCAAATTCATCACTCATAATTTCTGAATTTCGCTAGTCGTTGACACCCCTATTCGGTTTTAAAAACAGAACTCGAACTTGTTCACTTTACGATTACTGCTTCCACTAATTGTGTCCCATCACTTGAAGCCGCTCTATCATCAGTAGAACTGATTGAGGTCTAAACGGTAATTAGACACCTAACTTAGCCCTTGCGGCAGTAACCAGCGAACAAGCCCAAGAGTGGTTTTCAAAACGCCGAAGACTCATTGAAAACCATATACATTTATATTTAGAAAAAACTTGAAACATGCAGGCACTCCACACCTGTCATTCTCCGGCATTTCCCTTAAATCCAAAAAAATGTCAACAATTAACAAACTTGATTAGCTCTTCATTGCATAATATAAACAAATCGAGAATTTCGTGGGCAATGCGTTGATTGAGCTTAGCTCCTCTGTAACTAATTGAAGCTCTTTGATCTTTGTTTTTGAAATTAGGGCTTTTCATTAGATTAAAAGTTGACCTTCTGGTCATATACAACCGTTTATCAAATAGAAAAAGCTCATTTAAAAAAGTTTCAGAGTCTAGTCCTGCTATTGATCGCAAAACAAATTTGGGGAGTTTATACGCATGAAGCTCCTAAACTATTAAAAACTTTTCATCATTAAAAACTTGTCGAATGCTTTCATTTTTTCTTATGAAAAAAAAGTCAAACTAAAAATTTTTTTGGGTCGAAAAAGGGGAAGTTTTTGTGTATGAAGTGCCACCATACACCAATTTTCCATATTGCAAAAAGGGCTAGATATTAGTGCCAAAATAATCATTTATAACAGTTTTGGGAACATAGTGACGCATTTTCGAAACAAAGCCACATTGTTTTCTAAGCTTAGATCGGGGGCGTTCAACAGTGCCGAAGTACAACAGTGCGGGAGAAGGCGAGAACAATTCAGAATAAATTAAATGCATTTTCTAACACTTTCTAAAGAGTGGGAAATTGCTGACGCTAATTACCAAAAAAAAACAATCCATTTTTGGCGCCAAAATGTCTGCAACAGCAAAATAAACAATTATTTTGGCGCCAAAATGTCTAAATTGCAATTTTAATCGCTCAAAATGATAAAATTGCACATAAGGTTGTAAAAATTGTCCGTTTTTTTTGCCACACTTAATATGTTTAAAGCTAATCAAATTTTTGGCCATGTTGAACTATTTTTTTTCGGCACTGTTGTTCTTCGGCACTTATACTGCCCATTTAGATCGCATGAAATTAATGTGAGAATTAAATGACAATTTTGCATCTACAAAAACACCAAGATATTTGCATGACCCTTCAATTTTCAAAGGAATGCTTCAAAATGAACTTTTGCTGCTTGGAACCACTGTTAAGAGACACACTTACTTGTACCGTTTTCTCCAAATTCGAAGAGAATTTATTCAAAATCAACCACTTATTTTTTGCTTCTAAGGCTTGATTGAAGCTCAAAACCAAGCAGTTTAGTCCAGTTGTGTTTGTGTCGTTGGCAAACTGAATAACTATGCTAATATTGCAGATTTTTGGAAGGTCATTTATATATTTAAGAAACATCAGAGGCCCCGAAATGGATCCCCGTGGGACACCACATTCCGGATTTTGCCCTGTTGATCGCGTTCCACCAATTTGGATAACTTGTTTGCGGTGATTCAAATAACATTTAAATCAAAGCAAACTTTTTCCACTGACAACATACATTCCTTACTTATGAAAAAGAATTGTGTCGAAAGCTTTTTTTAAAGCAAGAAAAACTGTTCTCTTGAGCGATTTAAATTTATCTAAGCGACATTTCTCTGTTACTTCGCGCTAGCATCAATAGCACTAAGTTTTTTTGGAATCCAAATTGTTTGATGTAAAGTAGTGAGTTTCTTTCAAGATAGCTGTACTTTTCGGTTGTAGAGTGCCCCTTCAAATAACTTACTCCAGCTTACAAGAAAATATATGGGTCAATAGTTACTGAAATTCAATTTCGATCCTGCTTTATATAAAAGATATACTACCGCTTGAGCCAGAGCGGTAGGAAAACATCCTGATTTAAAGGATAGTTCAATGAGATTTTTCAAGAGAACATTTGCGAATGAACTAGCTTTCGCAATTAGATTACTAATTCCAACTATTCCAGAAAATAGTTTGCTTTGTACCGCTGAAAGATTGACTTCAAATTCTGAACGCATGCAAAACTGATTGAATTTGAACGCATTTTTTGAGTTTGAACGCATGCAGAAACGAGGCTCAGAATAAAATTGATCGGTTTTTAACTTAACTATTTGATTACCTAAATGATTGCCAAAAGTAGAAAAAAGTCATCGAACTCATTTGCGATAGCTAGTTTGTCCCTAACAAAGTCGCCGTTTTTTACATTTACCGAAACTGTTGTTCTTCTTGATGTATTTGTTGTACCCTTTAAATCATTTAGTAATTTGTATACTTTCCTTGAGTCACCAATACATTTATCGAATTTATTAAACTAAAACCATTTTTTATATTTTTTATTTCAATTTCAACTTTACTCCTGGCAGATTCAAAACGAAATCTTGCTCCAACGTTATTTTTGTTTTTAGACCAAGCTTTATGAAGTCTGTTACGCTTGGATATTAAGTTTTTCATATGATTGCACAACCGTTTCGTTTAATGGTTTTTGATATTCCAAGCGGCGCATAACTATTTAAAACGTAATTGTATCTCGATTGAAAATCTTCAAACAAGTCATTAACTGAGAATGTGTTCTCGAACGATTTAATTTTTTGAAATGTGCATTAAAGCGAAATTGAAGTTTTCGTTTTGAGTTTTAGGCTTCAGAAAACTTGTATCACGATAAAAATTTGAAGGTTGTATTTGCGAGGTTGTGGTAATCCGATCTAAAATAATGCGCAAGTTGTCAGAGAAGGTTTAATCTTGAAGCGTATCACCATTGTTTTCTTTAACATCTTTCACAATCATGCCAATCATGTGGTCCAGGAGAGTATCACGTGCTTTTCCTTTTCGAGTTGGTTGTTTAAAGATCTGATCGAAGCCGTTGCCTTCTATAGAATCAATATACTCTGAAGAGAGGTTTTTACTTTTTAGGATATCAAAAATAAAATGACCGCATTTTTTGACTCGATAATTTTTGGCAGAAAGTGTGTCAAGAACGTTTTCAAACTTTTCTATAAAGCAAAACTTGTCGGTTTCAGATGGATTGTACACCATTATCCAGAAGAATTTTTGATTAATCCTAACCATAACTGTTAAACTTTCTTCAAGTTCCAATGGTAGTTCTTCGGGTACAGTTACTTTTTCTTTCAATTGTATCAACCCTCGTCCAGTACTTGCTCTTGACGTATTAATTAACTCATGATAACCTTTTGTTTTATAGCTGTGTTTGTCGTCATATTCAAATAATCATGTTTCGCTTAAGAAAATAATACCACGTGGTGACTCAAGGGAACTTACAACTGCTTCCAACTCATCATGCTGTTTACGTAACGATCGTACATTGATGTGGAATATTTTAGCAACTTTTGAAAATAAATTAGGGTTTTGGCAAGGAAATATTCTTGATAATGGTTGCTATTGCTTTACGAAGCAGCTTTCGATTTGATTTTTTGAGTATTTCAGCTTCATTCCTCCTTCATAGAGTCCTTGTACACAATGCATTGAATTGTCATCCTTGAATTCAAAAAATACTCCCTTCTCTTGTCCAAATAGATTCGAATCTGTAGTCTTGTTTCATAAGGTTGAAAAATTGAGTCGCGGGGCCGTTAGTTCTTTCGAAAACTTCGACTGAACTCATCGATTGAGATTGGTTCAAATTTCATTTTTTTTTGCAGAAGTTCTACTTTTGATACTCGTCTACAGAAGCGCACAATCATTAGTCGAGCATTCGAAATTCTCCCAGGTAACCTATGGGCAATTGAAATATCTGATTTTTCAACCAGCGCACCCATTTCACTAGCTTTGATTGCAGTCTTCAAAACTCCTTTGTCCACTATTGCCTGTGCTCTTAACTTCCGGTAATCCAACTATCCGCGCATTGTCCCGCC